AATAGGGTCAATAAAAGAACTTTTCCATGTTGGCTTGAAGGCTGGAACTAATGAAGCTTATTGAAATCTGTTTCCTCCAGATGATTTCTCTTTTTTTGTTTATTATTGCCCAATAAAGGCACAGTTGTTTCCCATTAGTGGTAAGGAATGCAGGCTTATTCTCCCAAAATAGGGTTTTCATATTTTTCCAAAGATGTCAAATAAAAGGACTTCAGTTGGGTAAGCAATAAAGTGTATATCATCATTACATAAATGAGTCTTGAGGCACGTGTGCCTCCTCCCACTTTCTTTTCTGGCATGTCTGTAAGAGGATCAGAAGCTTTCGCTTTTGTCTTTACTTAACTGTGATTTTACCATTTTGTCTGAACCCTAAACTATGCTTAATGAAAAGACGTAAGCTTCAAAAACCACTTTGGAGCTCTCTTATTTAATTAAATCATAGCTAAGAATAAACTACAGTTTGTCCAAGTTTTGACATAACAGCAAACTATTGTTTATTGCAAATGGAAGCAACAGGTCCCAGTCTCCTCTTTGTTGCTGCACCTGAGGATGGGGTAAACTACATGAGGTTTATCATCATTTTGAAAGCAGCTTGTTCTTTTAGTATTGAGAAAACACATTTTTTTCCTTTAGCTAGTGTATGCACTATTCTTCCAGTGCTGATCTTTCCACTAGAGAGCTGTAGTGCACTTCCTAGAATGACAGAATTAGAGTTCTAAGTATCTTAGAAAACAAGAAATCCCATAATTCCATAGGATATAGCCATGATAGCTAGTACCAACCTCCTGTAACTGTATAGTACTGTGCATTCTATATATGTGCATTTTTCTGACTGTCTTCTCACCTGCCTGCCTGCCTGCCTGCCTATAGTTTTTACAGCATCTGAATAGGGAGTTCCCTCTTTACTTAATTTATTTCCAAATATCATCAACTCACAAATGAGAGGATTCACATTGATGATAAATTTCTTCAGTTTCTTCATGATTGACCTTTTTGGGCTTTATGAAGGCAAAGTCTGAGTCCAACCAAATTACTTCTTGATATTGGGTAATTCTGTGGCTTTACAATGCACAGGTGTTGTGTGATTGGAGCAAGGGTGTATGCAATGATAATGCAATGTTAAACATTTAAGTGAGGCACCCTCCCATTCAGGCCTCTAACTACACTTGTTGCTCTGGCAAATATGGGTTGATAACTACTAGTCAATGTGCAGCAAATCTGTCTTCACAGATGTGTGTTTTTATGCATTGCTGGAATGTTGTTTTTGTCTGTTGCGGAACACTCTGATAACCAACATCACCAGATGTGAGTCAGAAGAGTTTCTCTACCTCAGATAAAATGGACAGGCTAGGGGACTCAGTCAGTTCAAAGGAAGGTGCAGCACCTGCATTGGAAGGAGTTGTACTTCTCCTCAAGTGGCCCCAAACTTTTTTAAGGACTGTGTCTCCCTGTATGAGGCTGCCTAAGTGTTAAGATTATCAGGGTAGGCCTTTCCCTCAGTCCCACCACCTTCAAAAATGTGTTTGATAGGGACATGCAAGAGGCCCTTCTCTGTTGCTGCTCCCAGACTCTGGAATTCCTTCCCACAGAAGGCCAGGCTGGCTCCATCTTTGCTGTCCTTCTTCAAGCAGATGAAGACCTCTGTCTTCAGGCAGGCTTTCCCTTAGTGACTAGGTGTCTGAGAGGGTTTTTTAAATGGATTGTTGTGCCTTGTTGCTTTGAATGTATTTTTTTGTGTGTTGATTCTCTTTACTGTTTTTCAATGTGATATTTGTTTGTTCCTTCTAAAACATTTGTGTACATACTGTTTTTAGCTTTTAAACATTGTCTTTTAATGATGTAAGCTGCCTTGGGTCCTCTTTAAGGATGAAGGTAGGGCAAACATATTTTGAATGAATGAATGAATGAATGAATGAATGAATGAATGAATGAATGAATGAATGAATGAATGAAATTAGTTTGCAGTGTGGGGGTTTTCCATGACCAGGCACTATTTCTGTATAGTTAAGTGGCAATGTGCAAAAGAGCCATTTTATCAGTTGATGGCATTTTCCTGAAAATGATTGATTTAGCCATGGTCATTTATACTGTATCTTGATTGGCTACTGCAATCTGCTGTATCTGTGTATGTCATTAAACATGTCCAGGAAGTTCAGTTGGTCCTTGTTTTTGCAACTAGACTAGGGATGAAAAAATGGAACATAGAACATTGGTTTTACACTTTTATTAGTTACCCAATTCTTGGCCCAGTTTAAAGTATTTGTTGTGTGTCATTATTATCTAGTGTCAAATCTCATCCAGTATATGGTGCCCCTAATAGGGTTGGCAAGTTATGTGAGATAGTTAAGTAGTAGTTTAACAATGCCACCTACCCCATGAATGTCCATGGCAGAACAGGGACATGAACCCAGGCTTCTTTAGTTTTATTTTGTCATTCTGTCCACTATACCATACTGCTTTCTGTCTAGTTCATACAGAATCTATCAAATGCAAGACATCTATATGAGAAAAGAAGGGAAAAATATGCTAGTTCCTGCCTTTAAAACCCTAAATGGTCTGGGAACTAGTTACATTAGCTGTTTCATATACGTATATCCTATCATGTGCTTCAGCCTCTTCAGCCTTGTTGTATGCTCACCTGTTAACTGAATTTCATACAGCAACCAGGCAGGGCCTTTTAATAGTAAATAAAATAAAATAAAACTGTACATAGCCAAAGAGCAAAATGCAAACCCTATTTATAACTTTGTTGGTGATAGTGTTGTGGAATGTGACTGGGAGACTAATATTTCTAATCCTGTTATGTGAAAGTTAAACACTGTTGTTCTGTGAGAACTTTCATGTGAGTAACTGGTGCTTTTTTATTTTTGACTTTGATAACAAAGGCCTTGTTGCTATTGATGGGTTTTTTTCTTGCTTCTTGAGGATGGTTTTGATGCGGCTTTGTTATTATTGTTGCCTATTTGCTGTTTGTGATGTTGATTTTTTTAAAAATTATAGCCTTATACCTGATTATTTTTTGAAGAAAAGGAAGATGTTTAACTATATATATTAAAAATAATAATAAAAGCAGGTATTACTGGCAAAATGACTGTATATAAATTTTTAAAAGAGTAGAATTTGAAGAGCAAAAGTGGATTAGTACACCAGGAATTTCTTCTTATCTATTCTTGAAAGTTTAATTGCAGAGTTTAAGGAATGCATAGCCCATATCTTGCATGCTTTGATTCAGAAGCTTCACTGCATTCCGTGCTTTCTGTTTACCAAAATATGTATAGGCAGCTGGAGCTGGACAATCAGGCCTTCCATACTGATATAATAGAAAGACAGTAGGAAATTACAAGCCACATTATCTTTGCTCTATCCTTTAGTTAAGTAAGTGCCACGATGTCAGAACTGAATTATTATGATCCTAATAGAGCTTTCAAGTTAAATGACATATTTAAGGAGTGGTTTTTACCAGTTCTATTCCACCGGTGAATTTCCATGGCCAAATGGGGATTTGAACCCTGTTTTCCACAGTTCTAGTCCATCATTCTATCCACTGCGTCACACTGGGTACCGTTGTATCCCAAGTCAACTATAAAAGACAATTGACTTTGGAGAAGCTACACAGTCCCATGGTATGCCCAGAGGAAGGGAGTGGTAAACCCCTTGTGAATATTATCTATCTAGAAAACACTGAAAAAGGTCACCATAAGTCAAAATTAACTTGATGGCAAGCAAATAATTAATTAAATTATATTTTGCTCATGGTCCTTTGCTTTATTTCATGTCTGTATTATACTTTATATTGTAATGATACTGCTTAGGTTTAGTTATTTTTATTATTTACAGTTATTTGATTATGATAGTTTTTAAAGTGGCTTGAAAGGCCAATGTAAATTTTAAAAAATAACATAATGTTACTATAATAAGAAAGGGAAAATTAGCAATGTAGTCAGACTGAGTCCAATGGAAGGGTCAACAAAATGTCCTAATAGAATTACTGACCTTTTCACATTCATGTGGTGTCAAATCATTCTAACTTAATAAAAGCTAATATTGTCTAGTAAACTGAACATTAGGATGCTTGACATTAAAGAAGCATTAGTGGGCTAGAACAGGCTCACAAAAGAAAAATTGTACGAAACTCAAATAAAGACGGGAACATAAATCTATTCACTATGTCTCAAAAGGAGCTTTTAAAGTACAGCATATTTTAGTGCTATTCTCTTGCTTTTCTGACCCCCACTGAGAAGATGAGAAACAAATTCAAATAAAGTAATTGTTCAGTAGAAAATCTTTATTTCATAGTCCTTTCTATTTATGTCTATTGTCATTGTTGCATCCTTAAGAGCAGAGATTGCTTAGAAAGAGTTTTTAGAACTAGAGCGCTATGCTACCCGAAAATCTGTCAGGATGGAAAATGCCACTGTTTTGTGCTCTTCACCTTCAGCCTTTGCAAAAAGCCCTTGCTCCTGAATCACTGTGGTCAGGTTAAAACACAATTAGTCTCCTGCTGCACCTGCTGCGCGCGCGTGTGTGCATGTGTGTGCATCTGAGCATTTGGACGCGTGCCGGTATCCATATATCCTTCACCTTTTCTCTCCTTGGGAGGACGGAGCTTGAAATCTCACTCCCCTCCTCCCGCTTTTCCATGCCTGCTGGCTGCTTCTGTTGCTGCATGTGAGGCTGAGAGCATTGTTTGAATGATGAGGCTGGACTAGGTTAGATAGACCCTGGTGCCTCGAGAGAGGGAGAGAGCAGCCGCCTTTCTATCTCTCTCTCTCGCTCTCTCATTTTCTCTCTCCTGCCCAGAAATCAGAAAAAGGAAAAGGAAGAGAACAGCTACTGTCTTCCCTGAACTCAAGGGGGAGAGAGAAGTTGAAGATGAAGGAAGCGCATAGGACCACCACAGCCCTGTCCTTCCCAGCACAAGACTTTCCACTCTGGCATATTTCCTAAACCCAGAGAGGAACTGGCTAGGAGGACTTACTTTCCCTCCCACCCTCCAGGGAGATGGTTTGGTGTGAGTGAGGAGGGATTGCACCTGAGACCCCGCCACCATGCTAAAGTTTCGTGCAGACCGCCGGGTCAGGTAGGATTTCCCAGGTGACGCGGCCTGTGCGATAGTGGGAGGTGGTGGGCCCTGGCCTTGTTCCTCCCACTTTGTGGAGGGGGGGGTCTTCTGTGGATGTATTTGGATGGCTTTGGGAAATTTCCTCTCGGTCGGTGACTGCTGCATTGCAGTGCTCAGGACAGCAGATGCTTAACTTAGGACTTTGTGGAACTGAACCAGAGGAGGCAGCTGCTCCCAAGGAAATGTTTTAAAGAGATTTCTGGGGAAGTTTTTTTTTTTCCTTTCTTACGCTGGTGCCGAACCCTGAAATCTGGAGGAGGGGTGGTTGGCAGGACGCCAGCCTGAGCTGCAGAAGCCACATCCAACTACAAAGGATGCTGGAGGGAGGAGGAAAGAGCCTGAGAGTAAAAGGCAAACCTGCTCGTGGCTGAGCTGATTAAAGAACCCTTCTCCTGAAGAAAAGGCTGAGGGAGAAGTGATGAGGGAGAGTCTCCCACAGGCAGTACTTGTCCATGAATAATACTCTCAGTGGTATCACCCCACTCCAGGAAAGTTAGTTTCCCTAAGGCTTTCTAAAGTGCACTCAGATTAAGGTTTCCCCTACCTTGCTTCAGTTTTGAAAGAGAATACAGCTCGGATTTTAAGTGCTTTTCTCATTGTGCTGAAATAATAAAGAGCCAGATTTGCACAGGAGGTATCCTTCGGTGTGGTTGTGCGAGTAAAAGCTCCAACACACTGTAATAGTTATATATATCTTGCTGTTTACAAGCTAAAATGGGCCCCTGCCCGGATGACCTTATATCTGAAAGGCTTGACACTGGAGAAGAGAACAGTTGGAGAAATAGGGGGGAAAAGGATGAACTGAAGTGAATTAAATAACAAGTAGTTAGACTTTATTGTAATTGGGAATGATGACAGAGGTTTTAAACAAAACTTTTGATTTAACATTATTGTGAAAGATGTTTCACAAAGATACTAATAAGTTATTTCTTTGATCCCTGTATTAGTTGGCAGCAGCACTGATTTTGTCGTCATAGCCAAAATTTTGTGTACAGTATATTTCTTTCCATACAAAATATCCCTGTCAACTTGGCGTGTGTCTGTAGGTAGGAGGTAATGATAACCTGCCTATTTTATGTCTCATTGCCAGCATTACAAAGTCCTTAGCCTTGTTTGTATTTGTATTTATTGGAACTATGCTAGCAGACAAGTTACCATATCTTTCCTTATTACTTTTTTCAGACATTTGCTTGGGCTTTTTGTTCTTGTTCCTTTAATTTTCTTCCTTAAAGTATCTTTGTGGAGCACACATTTGAGTAGATATGCACAAGAGTTTTCCATAAACATACTCAAAGCAAGAAGATAAAAGGAACAGCATCAATAGAAAGTCCAAACAGCTACCTGACAAAGAAGAGGTAAAAAGCCCTTCTGAGTAATTCCCAGCTAAGTGTGCATAGAATTGCAGCCTCAAAATACAGTTTGCAACATACAATTCACTCCTCTTTCATTCTGGATACCAACTTATGACATTGTCACCCAAGCTGGTACAAACAAAATATAAAATGAAATTATATACTGGCTGATTCTCAGGTATCTGGCTCCAAAGTCAGAGACTGGGAGTTCAATTCCCCACGGTGCCTCCTGCAAATAGAGCTAGCCCATGTGGCTTTGGACAGGCTGCACAGTCCTAGGGTGCTCTCAGAAGAAGGGAATTGCAAACTACTGTACTTCTGAGTATTCATTACCTGGAAAACCCTGAAAAGTCAAAATTGACTAGATGGCACATGTGCGCATGTGTGCACGTGTGTGTGTGTGTGTGTGTGTGTGTGTGTGTGTGCGCGCGCGCGCATACACACACACACACACACACACACACACACACACACACACACACACACACACACAATTTTTAAAAAGAGCTCTGCTGATGTGATTCCATGCATATTGCACTTGGACCTTGACCTTAACTTGTACTTATAGCTTGGGAAAGTAAGCTTTTGAATTACAAATCCCAGAATGGATGGAAATGACAATATTTGGAGATTCTAACCACCTATGTGCAACAGCCAAGCTTCTGGGGTTGCACCTTTCTGAGATGTTGAGTGTGCCTCCTACTGTTCTCCACTCTTTTTTTTTTTTTGCAAGACAGCACCACAAGTATCTTTAAATTTAGACACACACAGCCCTTTTGTGATTGGCTTCTTGCGGTGCTGTTTTCTTCCTATAGTTCCAACACGGGAGAGAGCAAGGAGAAAAGTGTTTGTGAACCAGAAGCTACAGCCACTTCTGCCTTTGCTTATGAATGTAAAGTTATCAGCAGACAACTTTGCTACTATTTTCCATGCTAGGAAATTCCATTTGAGTGTATCTTTTTTTGAGAAAAGGAGATATGTAGCAACCCAGGGATACTTTAGTTGTCATGGATGTTGTCACAACCAATGAAATCAGTAATGTGGTCCCCATTCTCTCTAATGTTGCGGGGTTCTGTTCCGTGTGCACTATAGAGATACAAAGGGGACAATGCTCTTGATCCATAACTGTATTTCATATCACCACAAATGGGTGCCATGATAATTCCAATGGAATCTCAGGCCCAGAACATGAACATAATATGGGATTATGTCAATAGCAGTATCAGTCTGTTCTCTTAGTTTGGCATGGCAGCGTGGCTGTTTATGGTGGTCATTGCCAATTGATGGGACATACTTCAGTTTTAAAATAATCTTTGTGTTTTCCGTTTACTATAGTAATACTATATACCCAATGTGGTTGCTAGGATTTTAAAATTCAAATTAATACTTTTGTTTGTTTATGTTTAAGACTCCCCCTCTACTACTGCAATTTTTAAATTTGTTAGAACTGGTAAATATAATAGCAGACTGCCATTCTCAGAAAAAAATAGTTTTATTATTGTTGTTGTTATTTTTGTCATAATGAGAGTCAGATTCTTGGAGAGAATGGCTGCTGATATACAAGATACAGAAAGCTGAGAACCACCTGTATAAGGGGCACCATTCAGATTCCAGGATGGGGGCAGGAGAACACCAGAACAATTCATAGGACCAGTTTGTAGACCAGAAAGAGTTAATGCCCACAGAGGTAAAGTAATGCAAAGGACACTCCTTTAAGCCCCAACAGTAGGTAGGCTCAAGGATCAACAGGCAGTAGTAATGAGCTCACTGTGCAAAATGGGCTGTCAAAAAAATATTTCAGGACCCTGGACAGAACCCAGTGGAGCTGCAGCCAAGGCTAATGTCAGTAAGCAGGTGGTCTGGTGTCAGCGTTGGTCATAAGCCAACTGGAAAAATGCTGTAGAAGAGATAGATGATCTTGGCACCATTGCCATAGCAGAGGGGGATCTCAGTTAGTAAACTGATTGTTTCACTCCGATAACACTTGCTGTTCTCATGCCATCCTGTACTGGGACTTTCTTTAGATGGCAAAGGCAGGAGGCCAGGAAGCAAAGGTGCTTCAGGGGGAGCAGTCACTGATCTCTGAAATGGAGACCTGAATAATTTATTAGGATACCTGATGTTTTGCAAAAAACAATGCAAAAGCATCCTGTCCTTTGGAATTTTTCAGAAGGTGTCATCAGGCTAACTGGTAAGAAAGGTTCAACAGTATGGTCAGGTGTGTCAACCATTGTTTTGTCTCTGTAGTTGCAAAGTGTGGAATGTATACATAATGAAAACACACCAGATTATTAAAAGAAAAGAGGTTCGTATGCTGCACAATATACTTTCCTTAAGCTTTGCTGCTTCCTTCAGAGATGATTGGTAGACCTTCTCTCTCAGCAGGGATAAAGACTTAATTGCCAATAGGGCAATTTACATGTCTTTACATGGAATCTGGAAGGAGAGGAGATATCTTTTCCTGTTCCTTGGGCAACAAAAAGTCTGGGACAAGTCCAAAGTTCCATGCGGTCTCTTTCATTGGGAAAGTCTGTAGCATGAGAAAGCAATGGCTCCTTCCTACAACAGTCACGTATCTTTCCATACCAATCATCTTAATGCTACGTAATTGCTATTCATACTCCTTGCCATAATTTATGACATTACATACTACTGTTCACCTCAAATTGAAGCCAGTTCAGTCAGCTAGTTACACAACACATGCTTTAATTTGCTCCAGGCATCTGTTCACAGTCTCAGTCCAAAACTCCTGAGAGTCAGCCATATCTCCTTCATTGCACCAGTCTTATTGTTGAATATTTTACCATTAAAGTCTTTTTTAAAAATAACTTCCAAAGAATTAACTGATTTTGTGCTTTCCTGCTATCTATGATATCGAGTTTTACAGCTGGCATGGGAAAAAGAATTAGTGATGGTTTCAAAGGATCAGGCATTTGTTGGGGGGTGGCAATACTTAAAGAGCTGTCAGTACTCTGTCTACATCTTCATAAAAATCATTACAGAAATATTGCCACTATTTAATATGCAGAGACATGTTAGCTCCCATAAAAATTAAAATAAAGCCTGTTTATTAGTGGTGAGCTATTTGGAGATTCTCCTGAGATCCCCATTAATCACTGGCTTAAGATGGGCAGCCATGATTGGATTTAGGAAGAGTGGGGAGGCTGCTATGGTTGGTCCTTCCATGTCCTTGGGGGGGGGAAACAGTTGTTATCCCCAACTGCAGTAGCCCCAGTGAATGATTGGGGCTTGTTAAGCCCCTGTTAACATATCTCAGTGACTGAAATCCAGTCCCATAATTTACACCATGCAGGACTAGTGATGTCTTCAGCCACAGCAGCTACCTGGAAATAAAAGAGTTCTGATCTCCCCCCCTCCCCCGGCCCCAAAGATTTTGAGGTTTCTGTGGAATTCCTTTCATAGTCAGAAAGCGATTGAAGGCAGCAAGATAAAGGGAGCTATTTAATTCCCACAAATTGCCACCAATGGTATAACTTTACAGGTATTAGTGATTTTCAGTAAGTATGAATTCCATCCCAACCCAATGGTTTCCTGACTATGAAAGGGATTCTGTGGCAACCTTGGGGCCTTTGGAGATGGGGAATC